GGAGAAATGGTGGTGGAAAACCCTTTGTCCAGGGTGGGACACACACACACACACACATACACACGAGTCAGGACGAGTCACCTTAAGATTCTCTACAAGCAGGTTGTGCACCAAATTATTCTTGGTTGTTCTGTGGTTGCTACCCTTCACCATTCATTCGGCTCTTTTCTCCTGGCTACCTGGCCCCGGCGCCGTTTCAATGTCATCTGAGCAGGAAAAATCATGTCGCTTCGGACGTCTTCGCGTGACGACGAGGCAAGCAGAAAAACCAGACATGACGTTTGCGGACGGCAACCGCAGAAAATCACGGCCAATCGCACCTTCCAGGGACTCTCCAAAAGCTCAGGATTGGCCTCACTGAATTCCTAGCGGCGAGTCGTGAGGCCGAGCACGGAGGCTGCACCGGACCTGGTGGTTCACACCTTATTTTCTAGGTTTCAAGTCCTGCTTTGGGGGGATACATGCCTGACATGGATGGAACATGGTTTATATACTGTAAATGTTTGGAATCTTGACACAAAGAACTCCTCGAACTTCGAACTGACATTTCCTCAGACTGCTATCGAAATCTACTAAAGACATCTAACTCCTAAGCCGAAGAAAATTGCATTTGTCACGGAAATCTCCGTATCTTTCACAGACTCGTGACTTGTTTCAGCTGAAACCAGGTTTCGGTCGCCGCCGAACCCGCTCCTCCGAACTATCCAAGGTCCATGAACGCAGCAAGCGCTTCCCAACCACCTACACCGCTCCGAGCCGGGCCGATGGAGCGAACGGCGACGTAGACGAAGCTCGCTGCGGACGTGGTTTCGGTTGTTTTCGGTTAAAAAGGAACATGTTGTTTCTTTTCTGTGCAGATGTGGGGGAAAATAAGAAAATGGTTGAGCATCTTCCCAAGTCTACCCTTACACTTTCCATATTTATCTGAACAACATTGTACTTTTAAGTATACAGTATCTATATCCTCGAGATACCCACAGAATTCGATGGAAATATTTCTTTCTAGAAAATTCCACCCGAATCCCCGAAGAACTGTAGAATCCAATCCGTAGGGTCACCTGTAAGGGTCACCCATTTATTCTCCGTGGCCGGAATGTCCAAGGCCCACAAGGTGGCGATCGAACTGGTCGCTGAAGCCATACCAATTTCCTCACTGCCAGGCCTCCTTCGAGGCTCCGTCTCAATTGATGGGTGACGCAGTGAGGATGTTGGGAATCCACCCAAGTCAAGACTGACACTCCAGGAGCGTGAACCAAGGCCTTGCAATCTTCTTGAAGATCATCATAGAGTTCAATCCTCAGGGCGCAGGGGCAGGTCGGAGCACACAGCAGCAGCATCGCCTCCCGCAGATCCCTTCTGAAGAGTTCAGTGTCAATGTTCGGTGTTGCCGCAGCTGAAGGGGGTTTTGCTTATGTTGGCCGAAGTATACCTTTCTTCAAAAGGTGATAGAATGGTGTGTACATCCTGAGACTTTTCCGAAAACGAAGCTCAAATAGAACATGTTATGATGTGTTGGAATTGAACACATACTAATTATATTCATACAAATATAGTGATTTTCGATATATATATATATATATGTATATTATAATACGAGATAGCATGTAGGGAGTGGAAGTAGGATACTGGCATCTGACAAGCTCAATTTGTCACTCATCGAGATAATGCTTGCGGAAGCTGTTGAAATTCACAATTATCTAAGGGCTGTTGGAATTGTGGGAGTAGTGACTACTTTGTGACCTCAAATGATGTTCCCTTCAACAAGCGTTGCAACAACAGTTCCATAGCAAGCCTGATACCAGTATGTTGATGGAGTAGGTCATCCGAGAAAACACAAACAAAGACGTCGCCGTTGCTGCATCATCAGCTCACATCAGCTGCACTTAATTTGGTGAATCTGCTGCATCCGCTTTGATTCACTCAACACCCCAAAGGATGCCAAGTTTTCTGCAAAATTCTTCTGAATTGTCCTACCAGGCCCAACCTGGCCATCCTCCATATCCATCCTCCATTGCATAATTTGCTCTGAACAAGCCCAAGTGACTGTCCACCGTGCCTTTCTTGTTGCGCGAGAATCTGCACAAACCTGTCAGATTCCCGAAGGAAAGGGACGTCTTCTGGACACAGAGTCACTCAGAGCCTGAATGCCTGAACCAAAGCTCTTTGATGCCATTGCTATTAGGTTGGAGGCCATTGCTATTAGGTTGAAGGCCATTGCTATTAGGTGGGAGGCCATCGCTATTAGGTTGGAGGCCATTGCTATTAGGTTGAAGGCAATTGCTAGTCGGTGGGGGGCCATCGCTATTAGGTTGGAGGCCATTGCTATTAGGTGGGAGGCCATCGCTATTAGGTTGGAGGCCATCGCTATTAGGTGGGAGGCCATCGCTAT